TATAAAATCGTTAAGATATTAATTATCAAAAAGTAGTTAAGATATTAAAGATATGATCACATACTTTTTGAATTAAAAATAAAATAAGTTAGGAACGAAACTTACACATACATACAAACAAGAGATTAACATTCTTCAGGTACATACAAGAAACATTCTTCAGAGAATTCCTCAAACACCTCTCACTTCTATATCATTTCTCTATAGAAAATGTCGAGTGTGGTAGGAAGTGACAGTGTTCAAATCGTAGATGTTTGGAAAGACAACATGGAACAAGAGTTCTTGTTGATTCGTGCAGCCAAAACAATTTCCCATGTGTCCTTGAACACAATTCTCAGGGTCGCTTTTTACAGGAAGGAGTTATGGAGCTTTGTCAGGAAACCTAGGACTTGCCAAACTATCATTCAAGTGGGAATAATTACATATGGAAATAGGAAAAAAAATATGTAAAACCAATATAAGCTCTGATTGGAGAGACCGTGTGGCTATAGTGTACGGAAATAATTGCATATGAAGGAAGAAATAACTCTCCCTTCCTAGGGAAGATGACAGATGGGGACGGAATACATGCATTCAGGAAGGATTTATATTTGATGACTGCACTTATGAACATATATCGTCTGAACTATTAAAATTTATATCAATAATTATGAATTTATACTCAACTTAAGATTAATTAACATGTAGGTTTATTTAGATTTCAACGGCTCAAATGATATAGGCATTCAATGCCTGTGTTAAGTTCAGTTACTGAATCCAAATTCAGAATATAAAATGAGACATCTAAGGTAAACATGTATAGGTGACCATGGTTTATTCATTTATTGACCAATCTCGTTTAAGCATAAATGAAAATCAACCAATCACGGAGGAGAAAATGACGCCTAGTCAGATGAGAGCTACGCAATTTGTATATTATAAATTATAAATTGAATCGAATGAATTGATATAGTTGATGACACAAGCAAATATATTGAAATGAGGAGTAGGAGTTTATGAATCTTAATTACCGGATTGGCTGATTGAGGACAACAATGGCCTCTTCGAAATAGACTACAATACCTCAGCCCAGTCTCATGCCCATGGTAAACCTCTTAAATTTTCATATGAATTACTTCTTCCAGATTATAATATAAGACATATTTTAAAAGTCTTGCTTAGTTTAAAATATAACATTGAATAACTTTTATAATTGCTTTTTCAACTATACTCCTATTGTATTTATTATTTTTTAAGAAAATCATGCATTAAAATTTTAATTATTATTATTAAAGCACTTATACGGGATATTTAATGAGTAAAATTGAAAAAATATAATTTTTTTTAAAAATTAAGATTTCAACTAATATTTTTTTAAAAATCATGAATTAATTACCAATACCTTATATTTCAGTCCAAAAAGAATATATTGGATGTTACAACAATGTCGCTTTTCTCTATATATAAATGGTTTCTTGAGCCAATAATAAATTTTCACTTTTCTTTGTTCGTTTCTATAAAAAAGGCCATGCAACACTGGAAAAAAGTTAAAAATAATATTATGTTCTTTATATTCTCTTTGTTCTTTTTTAGAAGTCAACTTCAGATACAAGTAAAATTCTATGATGTTGGAAAAACAAAAACTTGGAAATTTTTATATAATGTAAAATTTAATTATAAATAGTTTCACTATTTACAAATTATAAAAATCACAACTATAATTCTAACTTTACGTGCAATATATGAGTCCTTCATCTAATCTAATTAAAGCATATAAAAGAAAAGTAATACCTTGTGTTCTTCATTTATAGTTGTGAATGTAAATGACGAGAGGGGGAAAAAAACTATAATAGAGAATCCAAATCGATATTTTAGACATTTAATAACATAAGAATATAATCTGAAATATTGTTCAGCATTAATAGGAAGAATTTAAATAATTTGACGAAAACTAAATATTTAATTTTTCTTTCTAACATTTTGAATAAAGATAGAGATTAGGATATTTACATTTTATTAATTTTAAACTTCAAATATTTTCTAAAATAACAGTCCAAATAATGACAAAGTTTAATCTTTATTTGAATAAAATTTGAATTAATAAATGCCCGGTTGAATATTTAAATAATTTTTTTTGCGCAATGTTCAACCTCTATATAAATACACCATCGCTTACTCGGTTTGCTTAAAAGATCGATCACTTCTATAATATTCTCTGCCATTATTTCCACCTTCAACAATCCGTCGATTTCATTCATATTTTCCAGAAAGCTTCACATCACTCATATCGTCTCCTTAATTCATCAGTATCAGACCATTCCATCCATTGCATTCTTCTACCGCGCGCATAACAATTATTAAATTCATTCACTGCATATTCTTCAGGTAAAATTCTACGTTATTCTTGGTAATACTGTTCATTTCTGTGCAGCAAATTAAATCTCCATTTCTCTCGTTCATACATCAGTTTGTCCAGAGAGCGTGTTTGCATTTCTAAATAGGAACTTTCATATATAATCTTTGCATTTCTTGATGTAAAGATTTATCGTCTTTTTAGTTTCTTTCATTTCTTGCATGGTGTAATTCACTACTATATATATATATATATCATTTAAAGAACGATCACTTCTATAATATTCTCGGCCATTATTTCCACCTTCAACAATAATCAGTCCAATTCTTTCATATTTTCCAGAAACCTTCACACTCCATATATATCGTCTCCTTCATTCATCAGTATCATCTATTCCATCGATTGCATATTCTTCTACCTTACAACAATAATTAAATTCATTCTCTGTATATTCTTCAGGTAAAATTCTATATTCTTCTTGGTACTTCCTTTCATTTCTGGCCATCAAATCTTTGCATTTCTTGGTGTGAAGCTTTATCTTCTTTTTAGTTTCTTTCATTTCTTGGTATGAAGCTTTATCTTCCTTTTTAGTTTCTTTCATTTCTTGGTGTAACGTAACTCACATATATCATTTTTGCATCTGTAAAGGGATTTTTCTTTAATTCATTTAAAGAAAATATGTCGACGAGTCTTGAAGGAAGTGATGACAGTGTTCAAATAGTAGATGTTTGGAAAGACAACATAAAACAAGAGTTCGACTTCATTATTGATGCCAAAAAGACACATCCATATGTATCCTTGGACACAAAATTCTCAGGTTCTCTTTTCATAGTAAGAAACTATGGAGCATTGACTGGAAACCTGGGACTGGCCAAACTCATACAAGTGGGTCTCACGTTGTCCGATGAAAACGGTCAATGTCCCATGGTCAATGGTCAACGTGTCTGCTGGCAATTCAACTTCTGTGAGTTCAATCCAAAAACGGATCCAAAATCCAGAGACATGATCGAAGCCCTGAGAGACAATGGTATGGATTTGGAGAAGAACCAGAAAGATGGCGTGACATACAGCGAATTTGCAGAGCTTCTGATGTCGTCTGGGCTTGTAATGAGGGACGAGGTTTCATGGATTACGTTTCAAGGTTCGTCTCATTTCGGGTACTTAGTGAAGCTGCTGACTGGGAAGAAGAATCTTCCAGAAACAGAACAAGAGTTCTTGGAGATTCTCAAGTATTGTTTCCCAGTTTCTTATGATGTCAAGCACCTGATAAGATCATCCACCAACGTAAATCTGCAACAGCATGGTGGTGGTGAACTGGAAGATGTTGCCAGATTTCTGGAGGTGAAGGCTAGAGTTGGACCGCCGGCGGCGGGAAACCAAGCCGGTTCAGAAAGTTTGCTGACGAGTTTTGTGTTCAATAAACTGAAACATGATCCTCAGTACTTCAATGGAGCTATACCAGAGACATGTCGTGGTGTTTTGCCCGGCTTGGCCGGTATTCAACTTTAGTCAAATGTAACTGAAGGAGACAAGTATGGTTCTGAATAAGTCTCAGATTCGTAATTGTGGAGTTTAGTCTGGGTGGGTCAGTTTAATATTCGTAAATGTGAATGAACTGCAGTGACTTGGAATTGTTATATAGAAAAGTTGCGTCTTCTGTTATTCTTGTGTTTGAGAATTTAAAACTTGCAAAATCCCAATTTGAAGAATGAAGAGAAGACTAACAATTTACGTATGGCATATATTGTTGTTTATTCGGGCTAGAGATCCGGTGCGTTTTTCTAATGTCTTTTATAATGCTCAATTTTTCAATTTTGTTTTCTTTCTTTCTTTTTATTGGGATAATTGACTTTGACATAAGATAAGAGACATTTCAATGCATTAAAGTTTCTAAACAGTAAAGTTTTTTTTTTACAATTTTTCAAAAATAAAAGAGTGTAACTGTGATATTCTTTGACCATTCCTGAGAAAAGGAAAACAAAATTTTAAAAGCAGAAAAATTACAAAGAGGATTAGAAAAAGTCATATTAGAGGCCCTTAACCCAATTTATTTGCTCTTAGTAACTAAATTTTCCCCCCTTTTTTTATTATGAGATTTTTTTTTTGGCCAAAGGAAATTCGATTGGTATCACATGTGATCAAACTACAGTAATATCCAGCAAATGAAACAAAATAGAACCAACAAATAAACAAAAATAGATATTTTGTAAACTTGAATAAATTGATTGATAAACAATAACAGATGATACATATCAAAATATCCTTCTAATTTAAACTTGAATATTTGCTTAATTATTTGAATATTTCAACAAAAGTTTTCTAAAATTTTAATGTCCTATTTCGAAAAATTGTTTTATTTAAAAAAATATTCGAATAAAAATCTCATTATATTTTTTTGAAAATGTCTCGTATCTCCTCAAAAATCTTCAAACCTATCCTCAACAAAATCTTAAGTTGCCCGTTATGACTATATGTTTGTTAATATAAAATGGTTAAGATACTAATCATCAAAAAAGTAGTTAAGATATTAAAGATACGATCACATTCTTTTTGAATTATAAGGAAGAAGAAGTTAGGGTTTAAACCTTTATATATAAAAGAAATATTCTGGGTTGAAGCCCTCAAACTCGTATCACTTCTTCTATATCATTTTCTTTTCAAGTAGAAAATGTCGAGTGTGGAAGGAAGTGACAGTGTTCAAATCGTAGATGTTTGGAAAGAAAACATGGAACAAGAATTCTCGGTGATTCGTGCAGCCAAAAGCAATTTCCCATATGTATCCTTGAACACAAAATTCTCAGGATCGCTTTTTACAGTAAGGAGTTATGGAGCATTGTCAGGAAACCTAGGACTCGCCAAACTCATTCAAGTGGGTCTCACGTTGTCTGACGAACAAGGTAACATTCCCATGATCATGAGTTCGACAACGCACGAGGCCAAGCAACGTGTCTGGCAGTTCAACTTCTGCGAGTTTGATCCAAAAACCGATCCCAAATCCCGAGACATCATCGAGACTCTAATTTACAATGGTATAGATTTTGAGAAGAACAAGAATTGTGGTATCAAATACAGCGATTTTGCAGAGTTTTTAATGTCGTCGAGGCTTGTTCAGGACGATGAGGTTCAATGGATTACCTTTGGTTCGTCTGATTTTGGGTACATGGTGAAGCTGCTTACTGGGAAGAAGAATCTTCCGGAAACAGAACAAGAGTTCTTCAAGATTCTTAAGGATTTCTTCCCTGTTTCTTATGATCTGAATTACCTGATAAAATTTACCACCAACCTGCGAGGTGGTCTGGAAGACGTTGCTAGGGTTTTGGGGGAGAAGAGAGTCGGACCGACGGCACAAGCCGGTTCAGATAGTTTGCTCACGAGTCGTGTATTCAAGAAGCTCAAACATGAGCATGTCTACTTCAATGGAGCTATTCCTGAGACATGTCGTGGTGTTTTGTCCGGCTTAGCTGGTATTGAACTTTAGTTTGGTTTGGATAGATATAGCGAAAAGTGAAAAGAAATTAGAGAAAAAAGAAAACTAGGAAGAAAAATTTTCAAAGATAATAAATTTTGTATTTTTTTTAAATTTTTTCCCTAATTTTCTTTTTTCTCTATTTTTGTCTAACTGTAGTAGTTTTAAATTGAAGTCTCTTTGGTTTTTTTAGAATAATTGCAACTCATCCCAAGTTTTAAATTGAGATGACAAGGCTAATCTTTGTTAATTTATTCCCTGACAACCTTTTTTGTTTCTTCTGCAGTTTGCTTTTTTGGGTCTATATTAGGGAAAACTTGTGTACTTTGAAGTACTTATTTCTAATTAAATCAATAAATTAGCATATTTTTTATTTCATAATAAATTTTTTTATTAATATTATTAACACATTAAAATTTAGTTGCTGTAATTTGATTGTATAGAAATAAAAAGGACGTGTGTATAAGAAAGAGGACAAAAATCAGTATATAAAGTCTATAACAGGTGCACCTGTGAAACCCAGTCTTGCTAGGTAGGATTGTTCTATATTTCACTGTTTCACCTTGATATATGTTAGATTCTTCTTTTAATTGGAATTATTTATTATTGAAAACAATTAAAGAATTAGTGTTTACTATTTAAGCAAAACATGATTTTAGAATTTATAATTTTGACTCAATAAAAAATTTAATTCCTGAATTTTGACTCAATTAAAATTATAAGTATCGAGTTGTGCTTAATTAAAGTATAAAAATTGAGTTCTACAATCAAAATTATGGGATTGAGTTATACTAAGTTAAAATTTAGGAATTGTTTTTACAATCGAGTCAAAACTATAATGATCAGATTAATGTGTAAATGAACATTATGTGATGAGACAAAGCTAGCAATCAGAGGGTGAATATCAGAAATGTGTGTGATTAAATTTAGAAAATAAAACAGGATGAGCATTGACTAAATGTGTGTGCGTGTCTATATTACTATATATAGAGAGAGAGGGAAGAGAGAGAATCTGGAGGGGGCGAAGCAGTATGAGAGAGTGGAGAGATAAGGAATATAATTAAGATTGGTCGGCCTCTGATGAAAAAGAATATCTTCTGTTGGAAGAATAATGAACTTTGGTCGGCCTCTAATAAAAATAAACTTTCATGACCATTCATTTCTTTCTTTCTTTCTTTCTTTCTTTTTTGTTGTCAAATTCATTCAGGTTAGGGAACTGGTGCTTTCTCTATTGTTCTTTGTAATAGCCAACTTTTAATTTTTTTTCTTTGAATAATTGACTTCTATAAAATAAGAAACATTTTAATATTTTAAAAATTTAAAAAGATAACTTTTTATTTTTTACAATTTTTCAAAAATAAAAAATTATAAAAAAAATACAAAACTTGATCGTTTCAAGACTTCAAATAGCTGAAAACAAAAGGGAAAAAAAAAATTGAAAGCTAGGAAGTTATAAAGAGCATAAAGAAAGGCACAAGGTTCCTATCCCAATTTATTCACTATGAGCATAACTTCTTTTCACTTTATTTTTAAGGAAATTCGATTGGTATCACATGTGATCAAACTACAGTAGTATCCAGCAAATAAAACAAAATAGAACCAACAAATAAACAAAAATAAATATTTTTTTATCCCGGTAATTGATAGATAAACAATAACAGATGTTAGATATCAAAATATCCTTCTAACTTAAACTTGAATATTTGCTCAATTATTCGAATATTTCAACAAAATTTTTCTAAAAATTTTATGTTCTATTCTGAAAAATTTTTTTTTTTTAAAAAAATCGAATCAAAATCTCATTTTTTTAAAAAAAATGTTTCATATCTCTTCAAAAATCTTCAACTTATCCTCAACAAAATTTTAAATTGCCAGTTATGACTACATGTTTGTGAATATAAAATGGTTAAGATATTAATAATAAAAAAAAAATTAAGATATTAAAGATATGATCACATACTTTTTGAATAATTTTTTTAAGTTGGCGTTAAAACCTTTATATATAAAAGGAAACGTCCTGGAGAGAAGCCCTCAACCTCGTCTCACTTCTTCTATATCTTCTCTCTCTCTCTCTCTCTCTCTCTAGAAAATGGCGAGCGTGGAAGGAAGTGACAGTGTTCAAATCGTAGATGTCTGGAGAGACAACATGGAACAAGAGTTCTCGTTGATTCGTGCAGCAAAAAACAAGTTCCCGTATGTATTCTTGAACACAAAATTCTCAGGATCGCTTTTTACAGAAAGGAGTTATGGAGCATTGTCAGGAAACCTAGGACTCGCCAAACTCATTCAAGTGGGTCTCACGTTGTCTGACGAACAAGGGAACATTCCCATGATCATGAGTTCGACAACGCACGAGGCCAAGCAACGTGTCTGGCAGTTCAACTTCTGCGAGTTCGATCCAAAAACCGATCCCAAATCTCGAGACATCATCGAGACTCTAATTTACAATGGTATAGATTTTGAGAAGAACAAGAATTGTGGTATCAAATACAGCGATTTTGCAGGGTTTTTAATGTCGTCGAGGCTTGTTCAGGACGATAAGGTTCAATGGATTGCCTTTGGTTCGTCTGATTTTGGGTACATGGTGAAGCTGCTTACTGGGAAGAAGAATCTTCCGGAAACAGAACAAGAGTTCTTCAAGATTCTTAAGGATTTCTTCCCTGTTTCTTATGATCTGAATTACCTGATAAAATTCACCACCAACCTGCGAGGTGAACTGGAAGACGTGGCTACGGTTTTGAGGGAGAAGAGAGTTGGACCGACGGCACAAGCCGGTTCAGATAGTTTGCTAACGAGTCGTGTATTCAATAAGCTCAAGCATCAGCATGTGTACTTCAATGGAGCTATACCTGAGACATGTCGTGGTGTTTTGTCCGGCTTGGCTGGTATTGAACTTTAGTTTGGTTTAGATAGACGTAGCGAAACTTCAAGAGGTAATAAATTTTTTATTATTTTAAAAATTAACTCCCCTAATTTTCTATCCTCTCTATTTTTCTCTAAGAGTAGTAATTTTAAATTAAAGTCTCTTTTGTTTTTTATTTGAATGACAAGACTAATCTTTGTTAATTTCTTCTTTATTTACGATAACTCCTTTGTGTCTCGTGTATTTTTTTTTTTTTTTTGGGTTTATTTCGGGGAGAAACTTACATATCTAGATGTGCTTGTTTATTCTATAATAAATTTTTATTACAAATGTTATTAAAACATTAAAATTTGCTTGTCATAATTGGATTGTTTTGAAATATACTCTCTCTGATCCTATTTATAGGTTAGAGAGAGAAGATATTTTTTAGTCTTATATTTATAAGTTACATCATTAAATTTTTATGACAAATTTCTTCATTTACCCTCTACTGAATGTTAGCGAGAGAAAATATATTGTTAAAATATGTATATTTAATAGGAAAAAATTTAAAAAATTATTAAACTTCTAGACAAAAATAATGAGTTTTAAAGTTTTTTTGGTTGCAATGAAACATGTTAAAAGTAATTTATAAATAGGATAAAAGGAGTATTAAGTATATAAGGCTTCTTTTACAAATGGTTAGAATTAATTAATTAATTAATATTCCAATAATTATCGACTGATAGTAGAATAAGGAATTATTGCTAAGATATTGAATAGATATTTTCGAAGATGATGGAATTTCTAGATAATATTAATATATATGTTAGAATTAAGGTTCAAATTAAATATAAAATCTAATCTATTAATATTTGTGTTAAAATTTGAATTTTCCATCTATATTATTTAATTATGTGCAAGATAATAGTACACAATTTTTAAATTTGAATTTTAATGACAAATTTTAAAATAGAATTTAATTAATTTCTTGCCCGTGATATCCCAATTAAATTATCAATTTGATTTTTTTTATTTTACTTTTATAATTGATTTTTTGATTTTGAAATTAAATATTTATTTTTAAAAAAATATTTTTATTATGATATATTTATAATAATAAAATCCATCTATATATAAAAGTAGGATTTGATTTAAGGTTGTTCCTGTGACCACTAATTTTTGCTTATATAATTTAATTTTTTTGAGAGAATGATAAAATGAAATTATTATTCTCTTTGAATTTTAAATCTTTCCAAGTTACATATAATTTTAAGAAGATTGTATTGCTCATAGAGTCACTTGCTTTTAAAAGTTTAAAGTTAATGACTAAGGTCTTGATAGGAAGCTTAAAATGCTAAAAGAGAAAATAAAAATTTAAAGATTTTGAAATGAGAATATATGGCTTATAATACAAATATTTTGAAAGTTTAACTCTTAGCTACTTTTACAAACTTTCTATTGCAATATTACCGGTGTGTAATCAATGCAAATAATAAAAAAATTCTAAAGTAAGATTAATTAATATCTCAACCACTTTTTCATAATTAATATCTTAGCTAGCTTAAACATTTTATATTAACAACCATGTAATCTTAGCTGACAATTTGAAAACATAACCGGATTACAATTCATATTTTTTTTTTATATCTCTATCATCGATCTATATTGTTTATCTATCACTTATCGAGGTTAAAAATATCTATTATATAGTGTCTTCTATTCTGTTATATAAGTATATAAATAATAATATATTATCGACATTATTTGATATTTTGCTATTAATTTTTTTTGGAATGATATTTTGTTATTAATTTGTTTGTATAGATAACTTATTATGACTTATATCTAGCATGATCATCTCCCACAGGGACGGAGCTACGTTGTACGTTGAGGGAAGGTTCAGCCACTTCATGACGTAGAACACAGGAATTGCAGCAAGGCTTTTAGCTTCCAGGTTCCCCATTCACACACGCACACATATATTATTATATAATTATAGAGACTTGCATGTAAATTGTTGAGCTAGGTGGCATTGCAAGGTAATAAGGTATTGCTGATGTGGCACTGTAAGGGTAATACGGTATGCACTTAGCTTTGGAATAAGACTACAGATTTTTAACAAGAGTATTGCCTATCATATTTTTTTTTATGATTAATATTTATATAAACTCCCTTTGACACTATTTATGAGGTAAAAAGAGAAGAATTTGTTTACTCATTGTCCTATTTAATTATGACAATGAGAGAGCATTTGTTTGGTCCTACTTATAAAATACTTCAAAGATTATTTTATTCATCTTTATCCTTTCATCCTTATTAAATGTTGGGAAGGTTATTAAATGTTAAAATATTTTATTTTTTAAAATTATACATGTTTAATAGGGGTAAAATGAAAAATTTGTTGACATTTTAGATATAGTTAATGAAGTTTAAGGTTTTTTTATAATTTTAATAAAAATATTAGAAGTGACTTATGAATAGAATGAAAGGAAATATATTTATAAGTATGCCATTGACTTTCTATCATAAGTTTATCTTTTTATCCCTATCAAATATTGATAAAAAAATGTTATTAAAACATGTATATTTAATAAGATCAAAGTTAAAAACTTAATGAATTTTTATACAAAATTAATTGATTTTAAAATTTTTATGGGTTTAAGTGAAACATGTTAAAAATAATTTATAAAGGAGTATATAATTTTACATTGTCAATTTTTAATTTTTTTTCATATATTATGTGATTATTTATTTTCTATTAAAACTTTTTGGCCCTCCCTTAACATTGACCCTGGTTCCGCCCTTCATCTCCCATTATCTTCTCTATTCAAATCTTATTCTAATTTTCTACAAGCCAAAGAAAATCGCAGCTCAGATAACAAAAGGAAGAAAATGAGGTGGGAGTGAGACGAGTTGCACGGTTTCTTTGAAGAATGTTTATTTATATACAGAAGGTTTCAATTCTATTTTTTTTAATTCAAAAAATAGTTAAGTAATCACATGTTTTAAGAAAATGTACTCTACTATCTTAACCACTCTATATTAACAAACATGTGTACACTTAACTGGCAAAAACGCATAATTACAATCATCATTATAGGCATAAAGCTAGGGTTAACTTCCATGTTTTCCCTACAATTCTATGCTTTACGGTGGCTTTCATGTAATTTTATGCTTCATTTGGTAACCACTTTTAAAATGGTTCCCGGACTATGCAATTGATTAAAAAATTTATTCTATATACTTTGTTCTAATTGATAATAACATACTAATGATATCAAAATATATCAATCTCAATATAAATGTTGAAATTAAGATTGAAATTTAACCTAATAAGATTTTTGTTAAAATTTTGACTTTTAAAAAATTGAGTTTTATCATGATATATTTTTTTAATAATAGAATCTTTCTATTTTTATTATATGTATAAAATTAGGGTTTGATTAAAGGTTGCTCATGACTGTATGTATGCATGTATTTTACTTATATAATTTAATTTTTTGAGAGAATGATAAATTGAAATTCTTAAACATACATTATTAATGATTTTGAAGAAATGAGGAAGATAATTGAAGCTACTTGAAGATAGGTTAAAAACTTTTGAAACAAATGTGGATGAAAATTATCGAATTTCCTTTGGCCAAAAAAAAAATCTCATGAAATCGACACCAAAAATCTGAGCAAACAACAATACATGCCTCATGAAAGTAAAATATAGAGCCAAAAAGTGTAAGAAAGACGAAACAATTATTAGTCTCGTGTCTTCTCTTCTCTTCATTAATATTATTCTGATGAACTTGGGATCTTTTGCAAAGTTCTATTTCCTATCAAACACAAAGAACAGAAGAAGAAATTTTTTCTATATAAACACAACACTCCATAATAATGCCTCATAGCAATAAGAATCTGAGAGGCTTATTTATTTAGAGCTACTTCTTGTCTCCTTCAGTTACATTTTGGCTAAAGTTGAATACCGGCCGAACCAGGCAAAACACCACGATGAGTCTCTGGTATAGCTCCATTGAAGTACCAACGATGATGTTTGAGTTTATTGAACACACGACTTGTCAACAAACTATCTGACCCGGCTTGAGATGGTCCAACTCTCTTCTCCCCCAAAACCCTAGCAACCCTCTTCTAGACCGGTGCGTTGAGCAGAGTCACAACAAAGCTGTAGCACAAGTATTAATCCACTGGCAAGATGGGTTGCCAAAAGAAGCTACTTGGCTCATCCTTGAGGGCAAGGATGATGTTGAGGAGGGAGCATTGTTAGGCTACAAAATAATTTCCCATTAATTTCCTATCAGTTTGGTATTTTGCTTCTGTGGGGTGCTCAGGTGAGGAAGTTGTAGCACATGATGTATTTTGTTTTTTGCCTTTTAAGCACACAAGGATGTACCGATTCAGTTATGCTGAAAGTATTTAGAATTTTATCTCTCTCTCTCATCATCTCTATATCTTCTTTTAACTTCTCTTCTCACCTTTTTTCTCTTCTGAATATTCCCCTTATTCTACGTGATTTAACGGATATTCACCTCATACTTTCATTTCCTTGCATGGGGGGATATTCACCTCCTTTGTTTGGTTTTGAATCTTCATTCATAACTTGTGTTTTCATTTCTAATCTTTTCAGTTCTTGATAACATTTCTAGTTATTTTCTTTCGTTTCTTGGTATTCTTTAAAGATATTCATAATTTGTATCGTTAATCAGCCAGGCACTGTTCCCCTACATTAAGGCATGTTTGCTTATTTAGGAACACGGCCTTCTCTTATTTGCCACTACAACAATTTTACTTGTGCATCATGTTTTTGGATCAGGCATATGAAAGCCCTACTTCAAAAATGTCTACACTCTACATCCCCTCCCTTACTTTAGAACCCATGTACTGTAGTAAGCAAGAATGAAAAACCAGTGGCTTCACCAAATACCTTCTGGGTAAAGTGGTTAGTTGTTCCCAATATCCGTAGCATAGCTAAATGATTACCATTCCAGTAAAATAGCCATTTCACATCATTGCACGGGATATAAAGGCATAATTTGCACATTCACTGACATTCAAAGTTAAATTTAAGCCACCACCCATGAACCAGAACCTAAGAATGAGGAACTCATAACAATAACATCAAGCATGAATACATGATTTTGTCAAGGAATAAACTAACATAGACAAAACTATCAAGAAAGTAACCACTAACTGACTAATCATTGATTCAGAAATAGTAAATGTTGTTAATGACAACTCAGTGAGAAAATCAGAACAAAAAAGCATAATGCAGAAACAAATGTATGCATACAAGCAAATGATATTCCATTACTTAAAATCTTCTTGAACAATAAAGTTCAACAATCAATGGATAGTTAATATATTCCCAGTCAAACCTGAATCCAGGAACATTGAGGTGCTGCAAAGCATGAAATGCATTAGCAAAAGCAATTAAAATATGTAGTATATAAAACAACTTAGTCAAACATGTATGTTTGTCTTGAAAAATAATGTTAATATGGCTTAGAACCTAAAAGCTGCAAATGACCATTTTCCTAATTGATCAAAACAACTAGAAAAGGGTATGACCAAAGTCACCAAGTTGGTCCTAGAAAAGCTATTTATAAAATCTTTTGCCAATAAAAAGTCAGAATGAGTGCTTCAAATGAATTGATTCAGTTCCTTTGTATTCTCCATGCTCTATCTAATGTTTAGATTTTTAATAATTCGATCTTGAACAATCAAAGAACCAAAAGGTTTCAACTCAGAATATCCTATCTAATGTCTTCTCAGGAGTCAGGGCAACTAAATCCCAATTAAAATTACACATCATATTCTAGCAAATGCAATAAGTAAAAGAATTCTGTTTAGGAAATTGCAAACCCGATTGCCATAAGTATCTCTAAAAGAAATGCTGATCTAATCCCTTATATATACTGAAGACGAACAACCCTAGATATAATTGTTGAATAATTAAACTTAATAAATTAATTAAATGGAAATGGAGAAGACACGTATGACTAATGGAAATCCACATATGCCATTATATAAAGTTGGGGAGAGAAATGAGTGTGGGTTGTCCACAAAATGATATGTGGCTGGAAAATTTTTAATTAGTTAAATTAGTGGTGTTTAATTGTAGTGTAAGTTTGGCCACTAATTTGTTGTGTGGTTTTAATTTCATTTGCAGCTCTATAAATAGAGCAATATCTTGTGTAAGATATATCAAGTTTTTGTAAGCAGTAATGAAGGCTTAATACAAGAGTGTTTTCTTTAGTATTTATTTTTTTAGTATTTCTTTCTCTATCATAGTGGCATCAGAGCCAAGTTCATGAGAGTTGTGTGAGCTTTATTCTATCAAAAAAAAATCTTGAGTGTTTGAGTAACCCTACAAAAAATGAACAACAATTCCAATATCATCCTCTAATTCCCTTAGCTAACCAAAACCAATTATACCAATTGGTGTATCAAAATAAAGGCCTTACTCGGATCCCAAGATTGTTAGGATATTGTCGAAAAAGGTTATATAGTCCCAGCAGATGAAACACAACTTTCTCAGGCGGAGAAAGAAAGTTTACAGAAAAATCATAGAAGCAATCAGAGGGCATTGACCGTCATCCACCAAGGCTTGGATGAAGTTATGTTTGAAAAGGTGGCAGAAGCTACCACTTCCAAACAAGCGTGGGACATACTACGAGTTTCTCTTTAAGGTAAGGAGAAAGTAAAGAAGGTCCGATTGCAGATGCTGAGAGGTGAATTTGAGACGATGAAAATGAAAGAGACGGAGGCAATAACTGATTACTCATCACGAGTAAAATCATTTATGAACTAAATGCAGCATTATGGCGAAAGAATTGAAGAGTCCAGAATTGTAGAAAAAATATTGCGATCACTACTTCCAAAATTTGACTACGTAATGGTAGCCATAGAAGAGTCTAAAGGCATCAGTGCAATGAGTGTAGATGAAGTGATTGGCTTATTGCAAGCAAGAGAAGAAAGGCTCAACAGACAAAAGGAATTGTCTACAGAACAAGTCTTGGCAACAAAGACATTGTTTAATAAAAAAGAAAACAACCAAGAAGCAAGTAGCTCCGAAAGAG